TGTAAGGGCTGAGTCTGGGTCTTCAGATCACGCCCAACGATCGTTTACCGTTCTGGTAGACGTATTGTTGTGGGTTTATTCTACCTACACTAGTAGCTAGAGTTGCCGTGGGAATTACAACACCACATAACGTCTCGACCGTGGAGCGTTGGATCTGGAATAAACCACTAGGCTACACATGAAGGGTCCACCTTCACCCTATATATATGTTCAGGCTTACGGTGCACGAGGACAGGCCTACAGACCTGCCCGAGGTTGCGGCTGTTGGTCTAAGTGTCCTCTCCCCAGCCGTCTCTACTGAGATCACCAACGGGCGGCATCTCCCTTCTTGCACCTGCTCATGTAGCCGCCCGCTCTTTTGAAGTTGGATTGAAGAGCGTAACGGCTTACGCCAGCCGACAGTACTAATTGGTAAAAGGTAGGTAATTTGAGTCCGGTCAGTTCGGAGCCGCAGCAGAGGGTTCCCTTGGAGGGTGGAGTGGCTACCGCGATTTACAAAAAAGCCGAACTGAGCCAACACTCAGCTTAGAACAAGTCTGATGGAAGGTTCCAGACCAGATTCCCCATCTTTCAAAATATGACTTGAGTGGAAATATTGGCGAGAAATGGAGAAAAGAATTCGATGAGTACTGTAACTTTTTTTCCCGGAAACGAAAGATATCACGGCTTTCTAATGTTTCACATCATAATGTTTGCCTAACCAGCAAACATTATGCTATAAAAAAAATGTTTTCAGTCTAGGTCTCAGACGATATACTAGATCATATAGTGCTTTTACTCAGCACTACCAGCCCAAATCCCCTTTAGTTAATTTAACAGGTATCGTTGCCGATGGCCATCACGACTTTATCACTAGATATTTGTATTAACTTCTTGAATTTGTGTAATTACGGGATATAGATACACGGGGTATTATTTCTTGGAAAATGAAAACTCTGGAAATAAATTTCAGAGAATAGTATTTAGTACACAAGCTAATTATAGAAGGATTAAATAAAACTACTATTAATAAGTACCATGTGGTTTGATGTACTCGCACACAACTGGCAGTAGTAGAGAAAAAAAATGCTAGTACTCCTGGTCACTATGATTGCATAACAACACGCTGGACCAGCGGCAATTTCGTTATGGAAGTAAAATTTTGCTGCTTCATTCGTAGCGTCACAAAGTCTCTTTAGTAGGATTGGTCCGTGATGCGATACCGTAAGTGCATTATATTTTATCTGCACTAGCTGTGGGTTTGCGGTGTTAATGCTTGAGTTGACACAGCAATGGATAAGTGATCACAAAAAGAGTATCATGTATAACTAGGAAGCGATAGGCTCACTAGCTACGACCGTCTTACGTGGCACTCTTCGGGTCTGGCGGTGCTAGTAGGCGGCGGCGTTGTGGTACTGGTAGACTCGGTGGGGGCTGGAGCGTCTGTTCCAGGAGTATATGCACCAGAGCTAGCACTGGCCTCCTCGCTTCTACTAGTAGAACAGCTTGAGCCAAGCGAGAGAGCAGCGATCTCAGGTTTGAGTGTCCTGTCCCCTTGGAACAGGCCAAAGTATCCCTCGACGGTGTCATCAGTGGTGTAAACCTTCCATTCCTCGTCAAAACCCTCGAAGTAGTAGAACTCGAGTCCTTGCTGCTGAGCCATCTGATAGAAGTCGTTGAAGTAGTGAGCGGCGTTCGAGGGCGAAGCCTCCGACGCATTGGGACTCAATCCACCCGACGCCCATCCGGTCTCTCCGATCACCAATTTCTTGTCACTGGCAATTGCCTGTAGATACAGCGGCTCCATTCTCGACTCAAAGTAAGCTACAGCGTTCTCTACAGCGATTCTCTCCCAGAAGGGGAAACCGTTGGCTTGCACGAAGTCCACAGCGTTGATGAGCTCTGGGTGGGCCAGATACACGTCGCCAATCTCTGCAATTGTAGCAAGCACATCCACGTTGTAAGCGGTGAGAAGAGCCTTGACACGTTGCAGATATTCGATGTTTGTCGCGGCAGTGATCTCCTTCCGATAGATGGCTTCACTACCCACGTGAATGTCAACAATCCTTCCGCTAGTGAATAGATCCGAGTGCTGCTGAATGAGCGTCTGCAGTTGCTCAAACTCCGACTCGAAGACAGCGTCATCACCGGTGACCCAGAGGCCCAACGAGACGGTTAAACCCGCATTGATAGCTGCAGGTAGTACAGTCGAGCTTTGGTCGCAGTCTTCAAGCCCATACAAGCGAATGGAGCGGGTGACTTGAGCTAGAGTTTCCATATCCTCCTGAATACTAGCGGGGGTCTTGCATCGCTGTTCAACTGGAGCCCAGTCGGGTCCAATACGAGGGTTGTAGTTGATGCCGTGAATGCAGAAGTTTTGTGCCGATGTTCCTATGAACGATAGAGCTGAGGTGAATGTTACTAGAGTACTGAGGAGCTTGAAGGGTAGCATTCCTGGTGCTTCGTCGATAGTCACTCAATGAAGTGTTTGTGACGTCTTGCCAATTGGAAAGTGAGCTTGGAAATGCTCACCATGCCATGCATTATCTCAACGCAGTCGCGTACCAGAAGTAAAACGTAACGGTAGAAGAAACTGCGAAAGTGCAGTGGCGTTGGCGATCATTGCGATGAAGCTGTAGAACATCAAAAATGTGTGGGTAAAGTTACCACGTAACTCTAGTAACATGACGAGGAGCTTCCCATAGCACGAGCGGGACGTGTGCCCTTGCCTGAGCAGAAGCTGATCTTGTTCGTTTGGGAGGGGTTTGAAACGGCCTGTTGCTGGCTGGTACAAGTGAGATCCCCTGGCTACCGCGCCAAGCCCCATCGGTCTTCAAGCTTGCGCATCGAAGCACTAAACAGCAGGGAACCCGACAATATCATTTATACCTATTTCTAAGAAACTTGTCAATAGATAGCGTTGGGGTAAATGTCATCATGGAAAATAAATAATTGTAAGATGCACATCAAAACAGTAGATTATTAGTGCAACTTTCATCCATCTATACTCAAATGCATGCATCAACAGTAGTGACGTCCCAGTACTTCTGGTTGACCTCGAGCGTAGGGTAGTGAGGAGAGCGTCAGACATCGTGGTTGATGAGGTAGCTTGGAAGGGTTGCAGAATGAGCGATGAAACGAGCTGTCAACTTGCTGAGAGGCTCAACACCAACCAGCAAACCTGTTGGTTGTCGTGGACACAGAAAATAAATAGTGTGCGACCACTTGCTAAATTCGTAACGGGTATTCAGGTGTACCCTAAATAAATAATTTACAGGAAAAATATAAATATATTATCAAGAAATATATTTTTCGGGTTCCCTGCTAAACAGCCACAAAGCACTGCAATCAGCAGCTTGGTAACCATCGAAATCAAACGTTTTGATACGTTTAATTGTAAAGTTTCGCCTGCAGTGCCATTCACGTTGCGACAGTATAAATCGCATGTGGCAACTGCTCGCTGCTCTTTGATCGTGACAAGGGAGCTACCTGTTGGACTTCATGCACTCTCATGACGTTCTGCTTGATGAACACTATCTTGGCGAAGCGAGACAAATGTCAATCATGATCGGTTCGTCCAGCTAAAGTAGGAGCACCTAGACAAGTAGATACTGTTCAAGTGTCTGCATGAAGTCGGTAACGTGATACCGTCCAGGTGGGGAGAAATGTTTGGTCTTGCATATATGTGGCAAGAAGCTCTCATCTCCGAAGACATCGCCTATCTTCCGTCTCAAGAGTCAATTTCTGACCACGACCCAGCCATGGACATGTTGCTCAGCCGTCGCTTTGTCGTCAACGAGTGAGTTGCCCACCGTGGAAAGCCGACCGAGATCCCTCGTGTGGTTTGCATTTTGTGATACTCGTTTCGTATTCACAGCAATCTTGGAGCTCTTACAGAGACGCCCCCAATTGCACCATCAGCCCGTCCTGCTCCATTGTTTGCTCAGTTGAGGTTTCCGGCTTCAAATTGCCATCTGCAGTAGCATGACTCTCAATGTTGTGCACGTTCTCTTCTGGTTCACTAGCCTCATCCGTATCTGACGCACTCTCCTCGGCGATAATTGCCCGCTGCACATGTCCTGCCGACCGTCCTCCACCGCGATTCCGAGGGTTTGATGTCGCAGCAGCTTGCGGGTGATTTCGTTGCGAGTTGATCGCATTCGCGAAAGCCTCCAGACGATCTTTGACGAGAGCCTGATCAATCGCTTCACAGAATTGGCCTACTATCACATCATGTTTGTAAAAGTGATTGACCAGCAGCTTCTGTAAACTGCGGACAACTTCATCCACCGTAAGAGTCCGAGGCGGATAGCGCAAGACACTCACACGTAAGATGATCTCCATGAAATCAGTGAGGTAAAGCTTCTTGTGGCCCATAGTCGTCATTTCATCCAGCACCATCAACTTGCACGCCAAGAAGGGATCCTTAATGTCACGCACACGGAATGAGTCGGAGAAGACCTGGTATTTCTCTCTACAAGAGCATTAGAAGACACAAGTTAGTTTCCTAACAGTACTCCTCGTTAACAAGCTGGTAGCTTACAGGAGACCGAGGAACTCGACAAGGTGCATTCCTTTCTTTTCGCCAGGCTTGCAGTACTTGCCCATGTTGGCATCGTACAGTTCTTGTAGCTACGGTAACGGGCAACGTCAGCCTCGACACCAGCCTCTACTTTGTGAAACAATAGAGCGACGTACCAGAGTAATATGCTCCGTAAAGACATCACTGATCTCTTCTGTATAAAGGAAGCGAGAACGGAACTCGTTAGCGTCCTCTGAGGTCACGGGCTGTATATTTTCCTGCATCAACTTGTCCACAGCTTTGGCAGGGGTGTCACACACATTGGCTGCATGAAGCAACAACCGTAAGCCTCGCATCATATAAATCCTAACTACAAGAGCAGATAGGTACGTACTTCTAAAGTATTTATTCGTGGCGATCCGAATAATGCACTCCAAGAACTCAAATCTCGTGAGACTGCGGTCCGGATTGTCCTTTTCTTTTGCCTCTTGCGTAAGCTCAAGGTTTGCGGCCACAAACACATTCTCCAGGTCGGGAAGCGAGCAGTACTCTGATGTTTCATCCAGTATTTTAGCTTCGGAAAGGAACTCGGTGTATCCTGACCAAGGCACACACGCTACGTCATTTTGCAGCTGCATGGCTGCCGCTAGTGTTAACGACCCCAAAGGTGCCAAGTTCATTAAAACGTTGTGACCACAGTAACGTCGGTAGGCATTGCACACAGTGCGATACCAGCGAGTGACGCTAACCTCCACTTCACGTCTTCGTACTGGGTCCTTCACAAAACGATCAATCTTGCACTGTTTCCAGTCTGCAGCACAGGCTTTCGTGATAAACCCGTCAGTATCCACGAAGCTGCGGCATTCAGACTCGCGTTTGCGTCGTGCAAATACGCTTTTGTTGATATCCCATTTGCCTCGCCTTCCATTATTCTTTCCTGAGCTACGTGGAACGAGAGTGTTGCAGGGATCTCGACCTCCACGTTGGGTGAGACGTATCACGTTTAGACGCTCCAAAGTACCGAACACGCCTCCCTCGATTGCTGCGGTAGTCTCGGTTTCTTCACTCTCCCGTAAACTACCAGATCTGCCTGGTTTTAACCGACGTTGACGCTGTACTGGACGACTGGGACGCGAGTTGACGTAGTGGTAACTCACATTCGTTGTGCTGTTTGTGCCTGTATTTGTGTCGACAACCGTGAAGAAATAGCTGGTACCACCAGGAGGAATGACGCGCAGAGCACTGAAGGACACTCCGTCACCTTCATTCTCTCGTCGCTCCATGGCCACACCTCTCCAGTCATCAACAGACAGGTGCAAACGAACCTCCATGGACGGAGTTATCTCGAATCGGTCGGTAGTTCCAGCAAATGGGCCTTGTCCAGCTGACGGAGTCCACGTGAAGCGATGCTCAGTCCACAGTCCACAATACCAACACGACGCGTCTACAATGGACATAAGATGAGATGGAAACACACCCGACCCAGCGTCACTGTGCACTTCTTCAAAAACTGCGACTGAATAGAGTTTGTGTTGATCTCGAAGTCTCTTTGACCCTCCACCGTCTTCGTCGTGAGCTTGAGCCTTCGGGATGAGGAAGCCGCGTGAGTCCATGACGGCACAATTGCCGCTCATGTGCAGACCGATGAGTGTCTGGTTGTTCTCCAGTTGCTTGGCCAGTAGCGTACAGTCCTCGAGATCTAGACGATTGCTGGACAGATCCAGATGTACCAGCACTTTATTGTTTGCTAGCGCGTCGGCAAGAGCTGTGACCACCGCTCGTGGTCGTAGCACTCCACTTGAGCTGTTGCTGACAGTATTTGCAGTTGCAGAAGCCGAACTGGGGCCCGACGAGCTGAGAGCGTTCCACGACAGATCACAGACACGCAGCGACGCGTGGAACTTGAGTGCCTCTACAATTTTCAGTGCACCGATACCTCGTAGTTGATTCCAGGCCAGATACAGCTCCTCAATGCGTGAATTCTCCTCAAGAAAGCGCGCAACAGCTAGCATCCCTGGCGTCCCGAAGCGATTCTCAGACAGATGGAAACGTACGATGGTCTGGTTGACAGTAAGCGATTCGCAGAGCTGCTGGACTTCGCGGTCACGTATTCCAGTATGCGATAGATTGAGCGACGTAAGTGTACGCGACCGCCGCATTAACTCGGTGAGCGCTCGCGATGAAGCTGTCGCCAATGCATTGTGGGACAGATTGAGTTGTTGCAGCCCCGCTGTGCCCTGCGTACCCGCGGCAGCGGCTGCTGCTGCGATTAACCTGGAAGCGACTCTGTCTCCGATTCGGTTATGCGAAAGATTAAGTGATTCAACACACGGTAGCAACGAGAAACCTTCTCCAAAGGCCTCAGCGTATGCATTTCCCATCCGATAGCTGCTGAGATTCACTTCTTGTGCTGTACTACCACTCGCGTACGATGCCGCTTTGTCCACGATACGGCGCCGTACAATACCTAGAGGTTCAGGACATAGTCGAAGGTTGCGCACTGCAGCGAGGTAGTTGGAGCGAGCAGACTTGGGACGAGTAATTGTAGACGACACAGAAGGAGGCACAGCCTTGTTATTGTGAACTATTTCCTGGCGATGGAAAATGCTCCAGAACTGCTGCATGGCTTCCGACCCCATGTAGTTGGCTGGCGCTGGCGGCTCGGGTGCACTACCACTATCAACATAGTCGCTGGAAGGTTCCAATGAGTCCAGAGGCGACGGAGGTCGCAGCACTTCCTTTTGTCGTCGTGACGGTCGCCTCGACGGCACGAGAGCAGTAAGGAACGTCCTGGAGTCTGCTGAACTCGATTCCCGCGACGTCGACACTGGCGGAGGCCTCGGAATGAGTTTGACAGGTTGGTGGGAGGTTTCCGCCGCCGCAGGCCGAATCTCCTCTTCCTTTAGAGCTGCACGAGCAGCTGCCCGCACCGCAGTGGGGGTCGAGACAGCCTCCTCCTCCACACTAGCTCGTCGCGGACGAGACAAGCGGCGGGACACGCTGTGCCTCGGAGTCTCGTCCTTCATTGCAGCACGAGTATCGAAAGTGAGCAAGTACCATGGTCAGGAATAACTTCAAACAGTGTACGTCGTCGTCGTATTTTCGACGTCAACCGTTGTTTATCTGTTTGACAGTCGAAGCTAGTGTTGTGATTTAACTTACCGGTAGTTACCGTTTTACCAGGGAAATTATTTACCACTGGTAACTGCTAGCCCGGGCCGTCGTCCCGGGGGGATCACAGTTCGTAGGACTGTGAGGTACGTTGAGGTGCGTCGAGTTGAGTTGGGTTGAGTTAAGGTAAGATAAGTTGCGTAAAGTTTAATCAGGTTTTCGCCACTACGGTACTTTTTCACTTCCTACTTCTTGGTTATCTTGCTTAAACCACTGTTGAACCCGTAGAGCATTTGTCCTTGGCGCTTCAGTGCGTACACAACATCCATCGTCTTGATGGTCTTCCGATTCGCATGCTGTGTGTACACTATGACATCGTTGATCAGACATTTCAGATATACCTTGAGAACGGCGCGCATATGTTCGTGCACGAGAGCAGACATCCGGATCACTCCAGCACGACGAGCAAGTCGACGAATGGACTTGTTTGAGATGCCATGGATGCTATCTCGCAAAACGTGTCGATGTCGCTAGGAGCCGCCCGCACCGTTAACCCCTTGCCCACGGCCTGACATAGACTTCCCGAGTGATCACGTGGTCGGTCAAGCTTGATGCTGCAGGGGAGGGGGGATTGAAAGTGAGGCGAAGTAGCTGCCTGTTAGCAACGCGGCCGAACGACAGCGTACCACCATGTCCCATTTTAAAAAGAACGTGCCTCGGTCCTGGAGTAAACTGTTTGTTCGAGGCGGTCTCAACTCCTGAGACGCTCTTCACGTGACTAGCTGGTAGCAACATGTGCGAAGACACCTGTACTAGTGACGCGTTGTATTCATTAACAAGAGGTGGGGAGCTAGCTAACTTAAGTGCTTTTTTAGTTCTGAGATGCTCTCTAGTAGCTGGTCATGCTTGCGATTAACGTCGAATAGGTTCCGTTGGATGCAATTCCACTGCTCTACAGTCTGCTTATCCCGCTCCTGAAACCACAGGAATAGCTCAATCACACCACATTCCATGTGCCGATGGCTGTGGTGTGTCTCGGTGCGTGAGCAGATGCATGGAGCAGTGTCGAGGTCTCTCAGCACCACACGTGAAGCCTCAGGCGACGTCAGGCTGACGCTGGATCGAGGCAGTGTACTTTCAGCATCATCGGCAGCCACACTGGTGACACGACTTCGAGTGTAGCAAAAGCCGCTCTCTCCGTCGCACTCTGAATCGGGTCGCTCTCTTGCTGATGGCAGCGTCACATGCATGGCTGTTTCGGGCGCTCGTGCTGATTTGGCGATCTTTCGCTTCACCTCCAGCGCGAGATTCTCCACCTCGTTCTCATACTCATGAGGGCGTTTGCTGGCAGCGGCGCACAAGCACATGAACTTTCGCTTCAGGCTCTTGGGAGTCCTTCCCTTCCAGGCCTCACGCCTCCTACTATTATACAGCTCTGCCACGGCGCTCCAATCTGGTGCCTTGCGTGGCATGTGATCGGAAAGGATCTCCAGCAGAAGACGTTGTTCGTCGTCGCTATAGTTGCGAGATCCCCGGATCTTCGTCATCTGTACAGTGTCGGCATTAATCTCATGTGGCCTGGGCTACTTGGTACAACTTAGCTTACCTCTCTGCGCGGTGAATTCTTGAGTGACTGTGCTTGGCGCGCGCACTGCGTAGATTATTCCATATTTTGTCTGATTGCGCATCACCTTTGGGCGGTTGAAGCACCGTCAAATATGAACGCCTTACAATAATAACACATATTCTGCTGCAGCGGAATTATTCTTTCAGCCTTAAGCTGAAAGCACGGCTCGGATGAGACTTTTGGAGGTCGGTCTCACTAAAAAAAATGTGAGAAATAAAACCTTGCGAGGAAACCTCGCGAGGTTTTACATCTCATAAAAACCGAAGAGAGGCATCCTAAAAAAGATGACATTTTTAAAAATCTCATCATTTCTCATAGCCAGAGCACCTGATTGGTCATAAACTTCCGTTTATACTATTGGCCACATTTCCGTGCCAGTGCATTGAAGGATCTATGAGATTTTCTTACCGGTTATACTGCCTCGACCAGTTGAGTCTCATCCGAGGCTTGGCTGAAAGCTAACAGCTCTCCGGGGCAAGATTTAGAGATTTTATCGAGTTTAAAACCATATTTTGGAAAATCTGGATGGCTACACATGTTTCTTACGCAAATAGTTAAATACGGATGCTGCGCTCACTTGAGGTTTGTATGGCGCGTCCATTTGCAATACTTACATGGGACGTTTTCTTGAATGGGACGCCCTTTGACGGAGACTCATACTTAGTTCTCGGTTACTCGTGTATTTACCCACTTGTAGCCATGCTGGAGGCCTAACTTTGTGGCAAACCACGGTACTTGTTTTGGTTAAGTAAATGTCAATGTGTATTTTGCACTGCGATTGTACGGTATTAATAACTGTAATAACACGAACGGAAGCGGTATCCACGGTAGGTCTGGGTAAGTATACAATTTGCCAAAGACTAAATATGGGACCATACCATCGGCCAATACACTGGCCATACGCTGAAGGCACAATTGTGCTGTGACTGGGCCGTGACAACCCCGTAGTGAATATGGACGTCGGTGGAAGCGCGAAACTTATCTGGACGACTAATAACGATGTCCACACAGCCAGCATCAAGGGCGTGGTGGCAGAAATGGGTCTGCAGGACGGCGAGGCTTCAGGGCAATACCAAGGGAATACTCGAGATATTTGTATCACAAAATTGCACTGTCGAAAGTGAAATGGGCAGTAAAAGGCCTTGCGCTGCAGCGGAAGTGACTCTAGATCGAGCCACAATCAAAGTGGACAGTCGGGGGTTCGACACAATACTTTTTTCGCTTCCCCAGGCCACCACAGTGGCATTATACACATGTAGAATCAAGATATTGTGGAACGTTGGGAATGGAGAAGGCATGGTTAAAGCCGGACAATGCGCGAATGTAAGTGTAGCCAAGACGGAGGTGTCTATCTGCTCGAAGATAATGTCGTTAGCAGTATTGGTGCCGTATTTGGCGCAATTCACCACCAAACTGGAGCAAGAGATTCGACTGGTTAACCATGGCCATGTGGAAGCCCTACAACCATGGACAACTGTCCATTGGGAGACGATCACAGCGTGTACGTGGAGTGCAAGAACTACCAAACCCCATGTGCAGAATATGCCTTTGACGGATCGGTTGAACCACACAGAGGACTTGAAGGGTTTTCGCACTTCCTTTGAGGCAGAATTCTCGGGAATACTGGAGTTTTGTGGGATAGATCTCACTTTGACTTGAATTGAGGATACTTCGGGGGAGATTGAAGTCTGTTTTCGGGTCACCAAACCACTGATACTCACGAGAGACAGGTAAACAGCGAAATGAGGCACAATCTTTGCCACAAAGTCCGTCAAACTTGAAGCTAGAGATAGTTGCGCTTCGAGGACCAAGACCGCCATGAAAGTTGGGTCGTAAAGCGAAATAGTCGGACCAAATCTGTAGTTTGGAATGTCGAATACGGACGCGTAAGATATGAATAGTATAGCTGGAACGATGATCACCATGATAATGCAGATGAAAACGTCGGCAAACAGTGCTGCAACTCGTTCAAGTGCTGGATTATGGCCGAGATACTGCTGAATAGCAATAGTAGACCAGCAGTTAATTACCAGCATCACTACCAGAATATCATTCAGCCACACGCGCGATAGTAAGTGACTGGACCGATGCGCTTGGTACGTCTGAGTACAGAGCTCCACGACTTCGCGTATGACGAAGATTGTAAGAAAATACTGGCCTTCGACACCATAGTCCCGTTCTAGAAAATAAAGCTCTCCAGCTCAGTTTTAGCAAGTCGGTTGTGTTCCCCCGCTGCTGGATGATCGGATTTACGCTTGAAGAGCTTCGATTTGGCAGGGCCTTACTGCGGCGAAAGACAAGCTGACGATCACAAAGAGACCAGTATACCAGCTGTAGTACTCGAAGAGTATGAATTCCACTCACAATGCCACAAATGATAGCGTAGATACCGTAGTATGCATTGCCCTCTGTTGGAGACCAGAGCTTCACGTAGTAAGCCATAATATAATAGAATTGGTCAGATACGAGTACGTGGCAGCCGAACCAGCGAGGAAAACGACGCAAATTAGGTGTGCGACTACGACAATTGTCCATGAGAAGCGAAATACTGTCGGGGATAAGGTAAGAGCAGTGACGTCATTCTTGGTATTGATCAGATCAGAAAGGAAACGCCGGGAGTTTAGTGCTAACTGCTGGGAGAAATTGGGAGTTCCAATGCAGAAGCAATCGTTGGAGGACGGCTCGATGAGGGAAGCTCCATTGTTAATGGGTAGACAAACAGGAATGAGTGGAAATTGGACGGAGCTCAAAATAGGATGGAGATTGCTCGAGCCTAAATCTGAAAGTACTCAATTGACTTTAGACACTACCTTGATATGAACAACTACATCAAACAGATACTCGTTAAAAACCGCGAGTGGGGAATGTTGGGGCAGTCGGGAAGAAGGAAGCTCCATAGATTGAGCTCTTGTAGTCGGTCGAGGGCAAGAGGCGGCGTTGGTTGAAGGAGCTCTTACAGTTTGATTGGTGCTTCTTCAGGAAATAAGAGAGCGGTGGTAGTAGCGGTCGCACTAAGTCCGAGGTCCTTGACTCAGTAGTGAGAGGGAACTGTGTTGGTGTCGCAATCCCCACATCACTGACCGACGTCGGGGAGCAGTTAACGACCTTGTTTCTCTCTTGACCCAGTGATAGCAACAGCTCTGGAATCCGAAATGAAGGTGACGAAGGCGTTTCCCTCTGTCTCTGCAGGGCTTCACCAGTCCGACGCTTCTGGAATGCCAGTTTGTCACGACGCTGCTGGGCCTTGTAAGCGCGGTAGGTCCATCTGTAGTTCCGGCGACGACAGATGCGCTTGAGCGTGATGGAAGCCACACCGAGCATTTCAGCTGCGTCGTCTTGGCGGTAGATGGAATATTTCTTGAGGGTTTCAATGGGGAAGTCGTGTACAATTCGACTCTTGCGGCCAGGGCGTCGAAATTGGGTGACGATGGAATAGTCTCGTTCATCGTGAAGTTGGTGGAGTGAACTGAAGAGGAGGAATTGAAAAATGAACGAGGGCAGGAGACAATTAAAAGCTCAAAGATCGGAAGGCCAAGACGTTGGTACCAACTTGAAGGGCTCACCATTGACCTCTTGACATCCAGAGTGAGTTTATTCTCGCCACCGACGTGAAATTCTGGATGCTACTGACCCACCACTGCGAATCATACGGGGCGGAACATCGTTCTACAGCTCCGGATGCAAGTGCTTTGTAAGCAATCCCAACACCAAGAGGCCACGAATGACAGTGACACGTTCATCTGTCCGCTCGGTCCGACAATGGAGCTCCATCTCTCCGCACCCCTTCGTCGGTGAGGAGCCACACAGTATAGAGATCGAATCTCCGCTGCTCCTCATCCTTTTCAAACCGTCGAAGTCTCGGGTCAACATTGGAGTGGGACGGACTGCTGGCCGCTGGAGACCTTGGAAGCTGCGAAGTGTACCCGCAGAAGGTGCAGCACAACAGCAACGGACGTTATGACGTAACTTATGCGGTGGTCTGCGGTGACTGTGAGTGTATCACCTACACGGCGCAGCAGCTGCGCAACATGGCTTTTGGAGCTGCTTTGGACTTTTGCTGGTCCTCCACGGGCACGGGAGATTACGTGGTGCATGAGAGTATTTCCAAGTTAACACTTTTTCGCAACTTTAAAGAAGTCAAGAGTGAGAAGCCTCGCGTGTTGTCAGCTGAGGGTTTGTTTGGAGGCACTGGCGCTATTGGAGTCAAGGGCAACGACTCGATCGCCATGTTCGCCTGGGAGGAGCTGCGTCTGATCCGGAAGATTGACGTGGTAGTGAAGAACGTGTTTTGGTTTGAAAAAGGCAGCCACGTTGTACTCGCGTATGAGTCGAGCTTTTTAGTACTGCGTTACAACATGGAACTGGCGGCTCAAACCTTTGGTGCGGGCACGAACTCGCCCGAGGAAGGAGTTGACGGGGCTTTCGACCTGCTGCACGAGATCTCTGACAAGGTGGGCACCGGCAAGTGGGTCGGCGACTGCTTCCTATACGCGAACGCCGGAGGGACTCAGCTACTACGTGGGAGGTGAGGGCATGACGCTTGCCCACCTGGAGCAGAAGATAAACCTGCTGGGATATGTGCCTCGCGAAACATCGTGTTCCTTATGGATAAGATGAAGAAAGTGGTGAGCTACACGGTGTCGTTGGTCAAGCTGGAGTACCAGACTGCGGTCGTGCTTCGGCGGAAGAGATGCAAGTGCACCAGCAGTACATATGGGAGCCGTGTTGGATGGTCACTCAGGCCAAGAACAGTTTTGGAAGGAAGCACAAGTTGCAGTTGTAGTAAGTACTGCATACAGCTGTGCAAGCTTATGTTGAGCTGCATTTTAATGGTTGTGGTGAAATCGAATGATTGACTTCGTGTACTGGTACCTGTCACTTCCAAATTGTCGGGTTCAAGCGCGATATTCACGTTCGACGAGTAGGGGCTGATTGGTCCGAGGTTCCGTTATCAAACGCCAGCCTTGGAGATCATGCCACCTTTGACTCAAATCGATCGGATGGTTGATGGAGGGCACGGAGTCTCATCTGCACCCGACAAAAACGACGGATTACCCACTCAGCATGCATTCGAGGCCACAGCATCAACACGTCATCAAGCGTCGGCGGAATTAACAATCGCAAGTGAAGTTCCAGTGGTTGAGTGCCGGCGGGGAACTCGTAATCGCACGACGACAAAGATTTTCGTACCAACGCCTGGTACACGACCTCAGCGGCCTACAAAACGGCGTATCCGACCCAAAAAAGTACAGCCACCAACAAAATGGAGAGTAGCTTTCGTTAAGGACCGTGTAACCACTGCGAGTGGGAAAGTGCTATATCGTGTTCTATGGAGAAGTAGGAAGTATGGGCGACATCCTCGAACCTGGGAGCCGCGGGATATGCTTTTGCAGGATGGATTTGGAGACGTACTTAAAGTTGTTGACAAATGGGTGGAAGCTGGTCGAAAGGAAGATTTTTTTCAATTTGTTTCGGAGTTATACCCTAGTGTTGCAGGCGCAAATCCTACGGGTACCTGCTTATTCCTTGCGTTGCAGCAAGCTCTGGGAATGGTCGGCGAGCCTACCGGAGTTACAGATGAACACATTGAAGAATTTCTTTCTCGGTCCAACAAACTGAACCAAGACTTATCACGTGGCATATCGTGGCGAGTGTTCCGTGCTTTCGTTATGCAAATATATTTGGGCGGATCACGCTTGTCAATGGCCGATATCGAATTTAACAGGCACCGTACCGGCCACCGTGGCATTGATGCTGTTAAGAATTTGGAGCTAGAGGATGGAATTTACTTAGTCGCGGCAAGCAACACCATGTCCGTCGGACATGCTTTCGTCCTTCAAGTATGCGGATCTCGAAGGCTAGTTTACGACGACAATACCAAGCGTACTTTGGTGTCGTACGGCGAGTGGATCGACAGAGTGATGTTTGTGCGCAAAGTTGCTCTTTTGGATTAATTACTGCAAATATACATACGTTAATAAGATTTTATTTTGTAAAGTGAACAACGAAGAAAACTGAGGAAGTCTTTAACTGACTTGTGTAGACCTTCCGTAACCTGAAGTAGTTACACAAAAGTAACGGCTTCTGATCGGCTAATAGGTTGTAATTGTAGGATGACTTTAGAGCATGTTTGAACAAGCTAGATGTTCTCTCATGGACTAACTTCAGGCTGCGCAACCAGGAAACTCAGCTTAATGCTGGACTCACTCACTTATCGGAATTGCCCAACTGGCTATAAGTATATATAAACTATAATATTGCAAGAAAATGCTACATGTAGCTTGGTGCTGTTGTATGGTATCGTAACGATTCCAGCTTGGCATTCTACTCGATTTTATTATTAAGCACAGTATGTTCAGGCTAACGTCTGCATCTACTATAGTCTTTCGCACAGCCTCCAGTATGCCCACTAGTGTTACCCCCTTTATACAACGGTAAGAAATGTGCATTATTATGCCAGTCCCAGAATATATACATGTACTACTCCACTGCATGCATATTTGTTTGAAGTTTTGTTAATAAATGACCACGAGCATGTGTTACCTCGTGTTGCCTGAGCCACTATAATGGTAGTTCCATGCATACGTCCATAACTGCGATGGTATCACTTTTAACCGTACAAGAAAAACAAAATGATTGCATTCGTTTGTTGAACTATTCAAAATACGAATTTTGGCCACAGCAGCACGCACTCTCATTCTTCACGCTGCCACGACAAGTCTCTCAAGCGGACCGTTGCCTGGCATTCTTTGTCTCGATACAAAGCCAACTTCGAGCAGTCGGTGATGGTGACAATTGTATCCGGAGTAGGAAGCTCTCGGGACGAAGATTCAACGTTCCACATTGTAGCTGTAAACAGCAGCGAGTTCACGGCATCACGGTTCTGGTCATATTGATCACGAAAGAGCTGCGTACACATCGATAAAGTTAGCGGCTTTTCCCACGTGATGAACTTGTTAAATGACCATACCCCGAGAAGGTCCTGCAAAGGCTCTGGTGAAGCTGCATCAATGAAGTGTAGTTTCACAAACGCGAGGTCTTTGTGAACGTGGTCAGAGATCCAGAGGAGCTTCAATCTCAAGGTGATTCTGTGCTCAGTGCTGCCAGAGGCCTGGATATGTTGCTGGAGCTCTAATTCACGACGACATAGAACCGTTCGCAGTTAGCGAAGCGCTAAAATAATCCACAAGACATCATTACCTTCGACACTGGATATCACGCGCCCAGCGTCCGCGAGGAGCTCACGGAGCCGCTGATACGGAGTTGGCCGAGCTTGTAGAGCTTGATTATCGTCGTGCGTTTCAGTTGGTGAGGTAACAGGGGACGCACGCACGGTAATGACTTCTTGATAGGGTTTTACCTTTGCAGATCTGGTGCTGCTGCTAGCAGCGGGCGAAGCAGTAGCTGCTTTGGATTTGCTCACCATGGGCGAAATTGGAAACTGGCAATCAAAGCGAACGTCGCCGAAAATAATGTCCTGGGCGTGGAGTAAGCTATGCTTGATGCGTCACTTCGACGTATACAACTGCCAAATCTCCGTACCAAAACATATCTATTGAAGATAAAGATGTAACTATGTCTCCTTTTAATTTGAAGGGCCCCCCGCACCCTTTTAAAGGAGTACTTAAAGGAATAAGAGGTCTCTCAAAGATATAGAAAGATCCGCAGATGCATCTCATTTGCCACCTCTGTCAGATTACACCGATTTAGCTAACATACATTAGTGCAGACTGGGTCGCTTTCCTCTGCACACATACAGCACGACTTCGTCACCAGCGGAGCATTAGTACAAACCTTGTTTATTGGTGCTTCCGACACAATAGATATCCGAGCAATGGCGCATCCGCTGTGACGCCATTGTATGCGTTACAGTTTTGTTGAAGTTTGCACAGCTGATGTCTCCTTTTAAAATGTAAAGCCACTCGTGGATGAGCACAGGATATGTTTCCTGTCTTTCCGTTCCTTTCCTTATTTGGTCCAGGAGAGCATTGATTCCACGAGGACTTACGCTTGCTTCTAAACTATTCATACAAGTAAGGGTATGAAGCCCCTAATAGCTAACATGCACTCCATCGATCCTTTCCAGAGTCACAACACCACATTACACTCACTTGGCCACAGCAAAGCGTTGGGGCAAACCCGGTTTCAGGATGTCGAAGTAAATAGATATCCGACCCATGCCGCATCAACAGAAAGACGCGCGGGCGTCATTGTATGCGTCGACAATAGATACTCTACGAAGGCTTGTTGAAGTCCGCAGAGCTGGTGTCTCCTTTTAAAATGCAAGACCCACGGGTGAGCTAACCCTAAAAACAAACTACCATACAAACCAGCGTATGGAGGTCACCAGGGCTCTTTGTCAGATGTGCGTATCGACTCCTGCATCAGTTAATCCGCCCTCCAAAAGCGAACAGGAGGTCACCAGCATGAGCTCAATCTCAACGTTTAGAAATGTTAGTAGCAACGCTTCCGCCATAAAACACATCTTCCGTGCTCATCCATCCTGTTATTTAGAACAAAATATCAAAGTCAGCGTCTCACTGTTTTCACTTATGCTACCCTCCTTCGTAAATGAATACATATCCGCAACCCAGGTCCGAATTCACTTTTCCATTTGCCTTCGCCTGCCCACAGCAATGTACGCGCGCCAAACGCTTAACACCCGCGGCCACCTCGTTCTCTACCGGGCTGTCCCGGATGACATCACCAACGACTTACGCACGCTGGCCCGTGACAGCACGACGTTGTGGATCCATGACACCTGGAACAACGTCGACTTCGACGACAACCGTTTCCAAGCGTTTGTCCCTGATTCTACGGCCCGTGCTTTGACGGTCGACCTCGAGCGTCACTACCGCACGTTCTTTGATGAAGGATCCGCCAGCGAATGGCACTTCTTAAAGACGGTGGCTGGGGCCGATGACCAACTCGTTCGACGCGAGTTCGCCCCACGGATCTCCGGTGAAGAGAGCATGGACGTCACCTCTGTTCCGGGCTCCATGTATCTGGCCCTTGAAGACAACACCTTCTTCTATGCGTTCGGCTGGAACAACCACATCGCAATGCTGTCAAACCGACACCTGATTCGACTCAAGCAAGGTGACATAGTGCTTTTTCGCGGCGATTGCATGTATGCGAGAGTGGGGTACGCAGGGAACAATGTATGCGTCCACGGGTTCATCGACACCCCACAGTATGCGCGCCCCAAGTACCAACCTCCCAATATTGTGCCAGTAATGGACGATACGCGCCTTGTTGACGACTGTTTTTGCTTTGCGTTCAACTGCCCGTTCCGCGCAAGCAGTCCAAACTCGTTGCGCAAGCACCTGAACCGCTTCCACGGCTTCTACTTTAGGAGCACTGGTGGTCGCGCTGCAGCGCCATAGTAGCCGGTGCCGGCTGCTAGCCGCTCAAAACGGCACTCAACAGCACCTACAATCGAGAGCACGTATTAGTGGCGTGCAATGTGCGCGTCTGCATTTCGTAAAGTCTAGGAAGTGTAGGGCTCATTTCCCATTTGCAATACATGTTGTTTTCTGGTTATTGAGACAGAGTAGTATTCAACTGTGAAGCCCCAACTACAACCACGTCGACTTGACTAAAATCAATATCGTTGTTCAGCTCATTATCGCAAACGCAGTTTTGTCGTGTGCAACTACCAAAGCAATACACAAACAATGTGCGCAGTGCGGAGCCGTCTGACTAGGCCAGGAGCAGAGACAGCAGCGGCAGGAATACCTGACGCACTAGCATCGATAACAGTGGCGACGAGGAGCGGCTGAGAAGCAGGCATAGCTTGCTCGAAAAGAAGAAGCAGGAAAAAGAGACGCAGTATTAGACCGCCAGGATTTTGGACATCTCGTGTCACAAGCAAACCCCACCACAATACTTCGTTTAATAACATAAAATAGCTTGCTTTTAACGAAATTCACTCAACTCGAGCCTTCAGTCTTTTGATCGTGTCCGCGCTGAAACGTTTAAGCCGTGCTTCTTCATCTAAAGTCGCTTGAGAAGGCTTGGCCCATTGAATAATGTCGTTAGTTAGTGGTTTGAGAGCTGTAAAAGCTGATCTTGACGTTACACGCGACACCAGCAAATACGGTTGTTCTCTTTTGTTCGTCTGAGCGCATTTTGAACGCCAATCCGTCACTACCATAGCATCCAAGGTATCTCCTTGTACTTTGTAGATGGTGCAAGAAACTGCACATGCCAATGGAAACTGTTGTATCTTAACCGAGAGAGATCGTGGGATACCATTCACGAAGCCGGCAAGGCTGATATTGCACGCATTGTAAGCTTCTGTATCGAAAAATAATGGAAACAGATTTGCGTCATTGTAACCCAGCAGGGTTGAAGCTGCTGGGCCGCGGTCGATGCGGACGAGCACTGCTGGAGGCGGTATACTGGGAACTTTCACGGTCATATCAGCTTCTGAGTCGTGAACCAGTCGGAATTGTGTGTCTGGGTGATACAGGATCGTCTCTAAGAGCCCCAAAGTTCCATTCGCCACAAGCTTTGCCGGACGAACGTTCTGCGTAATTTGGACAGGCATACCAATTATAAGGTCCAGATACGGCGCCAACCGGCCGAATTTTGTGTCGGGGAGTGACATGATATCCCGCACTTCCGATCGACGTAATGATGATAACTTTCCCTTGAAGTTTGCAACTACCCGTACAGGGTATTCGCCGTGAGGCAGTAGCTTCGCTGTTGTTGATACGAATAAATGGTTGATTGCCGTTCTGGTAGAATTATCAGGAGTCACAAACGTGGTCGCCTTCTCGTCATTGGCGGCGGCATCGATTGTGCTTGCAGCGGTCAGGACACGAGAATTAATGAGGTCAACAAACTCTGGAGTCCAAGTTCCGAGACGGGCTTGATGACAACCACGACCCCATTCTGGATCTTTAGCAAACCGAACGCTCTCCTTTAAGATCACAACGTTTGTAAATTGGCGCCACAACGCGAAGCCAGCCAGCTCATTAGAAGATAACTTTGCTTGAGTGGAGGGGTCCTTGAAAAGTGGTGCGCCACCAACAGGCGGTAGTTGTAAAAAGTCTCCCACCAAGACGATATGAACACCACCAAAAGCGACGTCAGGCATTCTTTTTGCAATACGCAAGATCTTGTCAAGCTGTGCGAGCTGAAATTTTCTCATCATAGAGACCTCATCAATGATTATTAATTCGAGGTTGATGATCTCGTCAGTCGCTCGTTTCTTGCGAAGTTGCAGTAAAAATGCCGCCAATGTCCTCCCCTCTATCAATGTCGCTGCTTTTCCAGTTAGAGCAGTCTTTATGAGAGACTGTTGGCGACCCCAGCTATCGCAAAATGCCTGTACTGCATCTATGATGCGGCTCTTGCCAGTGCCACCTTCACCTCCGAGGAAGAGAAGTAGTTGTGTTTGGCGCAGACATAACGAAAGCGATATATCTGCACCAGGCAGCGTTTCCGCTTGTCGCCATCGTGACAGCAGGGCTTTGCCTATTGCCGTGAATGCATAGTGCTGCCTCTTGTTGAGAGAAAACGTCTTTGATGTATCCGAAATCGTTGCAAAATTCTTGGTCAACTTTGGTGAGCATGCCAAAGTCAAGGGTGGCTGCCAAGTCATGTTACTTTCCAATAGCCCCCCGTCTAGAAGCTCTACCACTTCTGTTTTTTGAGTTACTAAACCTGATCTCGGCTCGCACGTGGCTAACAACGCGTTATCCGTGTTGTCGTCTTTCACCCATTTCTTCATAAGATCAATTGATAGCGAGTCAGGCAAACAGCATTCGATGATATCACTCTCCAAAATATTTTGCGCAGCAGGTTTTAGCAGACCACAATCCCTAAAAATGCCGAGCATGGGAGCAATCGAGTCATCTGGAGCTGTGGTTGTTGGGCAAGAAGCAGGGTCTAAATCCATGCTCTCTAAGACAGCGTCGATGTTATCGTCAGATGTCCACAAATCGCCCAAATCTCTGTTCTGGTTGTCTTCTTCCATTACAAAGTCATCAAAATCTAATTCATCACCATGAAAGAGGTCATCATTCTCATCTCCACTAGTGTCACCGTCAGGTGTTAGGGATTCTGGCTTAGAAGTGACCGACGCTTCCTCGCGCGCAGACTTTGCCCGTTCAAAGCCACTATAAAAGTCCTCCATATTATTCATAATTTCTTCTACAAAGTTACTCCGCTGAGGTTTCCATTGGTCATAGCAGTCTATCCACATCTGCTCGTCCGAGCTATGTGAAACGAGATCCGCCAAGCAGCGAAAGGGCTTGAAGAGCACCAACGAGAGAACAGCGTACTTGTAGCGTTTCTCACTTGATGCTTGTCCCTCATTGCGAGGAAAACGAAACGTCTGAAGGACAGGAACGACCTCCTCGTATCGCTTTCCTAGACAGTGTGACTTGCACAACGGATGCCTGTCTAGAAAGCCCAGCCACAAGCTAATAGCATTCTCGTGTTTCTTTCGGAAGAACCACATAGTGAATTCATAAAGATTTAGATTCTCCAGCATCTTCGGGCGATAAATATAGTCGTCAAGATACGACACAGCGCGGAAATTAGATGTCGTGGCGTCTTCACTGCTATTAACCAAATTGCAACTGTAATTTTCCAATTCCATTAGCTGCCTCACCACATCTCCAAGAGGAAGAGATACGCATCGAGCGCTCGAGTAACAACATGATCC